GCTCAAATTTTATAACAAGAAGTATGATATTGAAATTGAGCGCCAGTGTAAATTTTAGACCTGAATTCTATATTATGAATTCATATAGCTAGAAGGGTTTCTGGCCTATAATTGGAATCTTTCTGGATATCTTTTTTCGAATTTGACCCTAGAACCCCCAATTTTGCTTTACTAATTAGATATATTATTTTTGATTTATTTACATTCATTATTTTATAATTAATAATATATTTTCTTTATTCTTACATAGAGAATTAAATATTAAAAGAAAAACTTACTGAATTTACCAAGAAAATTGAGAAATTGAAGTGACAAAATTCTGATCTCTTGAGGAAAAACTGATTTTTTGCTAAAATATATGAGAAATTCAGTAAGAAAAATGAAGATTTACAGGAGAGATAAAAATTTGTATACTAATATTCTATATTTATAATAACTAATTTTTCTTTTTTAATATTTATGACTTAACTGATTTAAGAGATTATGGCTGTCCAGATTATTGAAGCAATCTAATTCCAGTCCTCCTGCAAAATGAAGAAAAATCAGAAAATCGTCGTCAAAATCAAAGGGAAAAAAGTTAGTGCATTATACTGATGATGAATTAGAATTGATGCAAAATAATTTTAAAGACAATGATAATTTGACAATAAAAGAGATTAACGTAAAAGAAGTTAGGGTATGTTTGAATTTATATTTAAATAATTTAAATTTTTAGCTATTTTTTTCTGCTTTTTATATTTAGGCTAAAATGAAAGTGATTTTGAAAACCATTAGTTTAAAAGACGATTTAAACTATGACAAACCTTTTAATAGTGAGAAAAATACTGCATTATGTCTAAAGATGATGCTACAACTAATTATAATCAATGACAAATAAGCATCACAGGGTTATAACTAGTTGCAACATTAATAAAAATTGAGTTGCAACTAGTTGCAACCAGTGACAAATAAGCATCACATAGTTGCAACTAGTTGCAGCGCCATCTTTAATTATGTTGTAGTCTGATTCTAAAATTATAAAAGTTCCTGACTCTAAATTTTCAGTCTTCTGTTAATCAACTTATAAACTGACTGAAAATCCTTCATATGTTACGTCGGTTAGCTTAAAGAATTAAGAAAGTGAAAAAGGCCCTTCAGAGTTATGATGAATTCATAATAATAATCAAGTACATGAAGTAAGCAAATAGAAATATTCCAAATTTAGGTCTATTTGAATCAATAATTTAATATAATTTATTATTTATTAGAAAATATTTCAGTGAGTAAAGGTCGCAAAGTATTTGTTTAAAGAAAATGACTAATAAATTATGAAATATAAAAGGCGACCTTTACTCTAAATCTCAGCAATCGCCTATACTATTTGTCAGAAATAGTGAAACAAATGAAGAAAATCATCAAAGATCTGTTATCACTGTATATGATTATTTTTGACAATCAGTTAAGATTTATTATTTTCTTTATCTAATTTAGCATATTTCAAATTTATTTAGTATATTTTACTAATATTCTTTCTTATTTTCTTCTTTTAGCTGAAAAATTTACTGAAAAAAGTACTTAATCTTTGTGTTATTATATTATCATCATTTCAAATTCAATGAAAAAAAAAATAGAATGATGATGTGTAGAATTATAATTGGCTACATCCCTATAATGCTTCAAAATAGTCATATAAAGCATAATCTAATATGGTCTACGATACTGAGATTGAAGCAGGTATTACAACTGCAGAAGAATATGTAATTGAAATTGAGTAATATACTGAAGTCAGAAGAAGTTTCATTCTCTGTTAAAGAAAGTAAACAATCCCGTAATAGAAGATAGCGAATGATAAATTTTTGGGTGATTTGGAGTAGAAGCGAATCAATTTTATTAATTATTTTTTACTTTTTTTTAGCAATTTGAGATGGGAATGGATTGATTTTATTATTATTTTATTATTATTTTTACGTTTTTTGAGCATTCTGAGGTGGAAATAGATCAATTTTATTATTATTTTATTATTATCTTTGCAATTTTTCAGGCGATTTGAGGTAGAAATAGGTCAATTTTTTATTATTATCTTTACATTTTTTCAGACGATTTAGGGTGAGAACAGATTGATTTTATTATTATTTTATTAATTTCTTTATGTTTTTTTAGGCAATTTGGAGTGGGAACAAGTTGATTTTATTATTTTTTACGTTTTTTTTGAGTAATTTTAGATTGAATTTTCTATTTTTTACATTTTATATTTATTATTTTTACATTTTTTAGGCGATTTTAAAAGGAATAGATCATATTTTTATCATATATTATTTATTTATCTATATTTAGAAGATTTTAAAGGATTTTGGAAGAAAATATGTTATATTTTATTATTTTATTATTTTATTATTTTATTTTTAATAAAAAATTAATCAGTAGATTTTAGTGATATTTTATTATATTTTTACAAATTTATATTAGGTTATATTATTAATAAAATTTTAATATTTAATAAATTTAATAAATAAAATGTACTAATTATTGATACTAAATTTTTTGTCTGATTAGAGTCGATTAGTATTAATCAGGCATCTAAATTATTGCCAAATTGATACTGAATTAAGACTAATTTTAAATTGATTTATAATTAAATTGCTTGTCTGATTAGAGTCAATCAGCGTTTGAATTGTTATTGAATTGAGATCAATTTTAGGCTAATTTATAGTTATTTAAGTTTTGAATTGATGCTGAATGTCTATGTTTGATTGAAGTCGATCAGCATTTATTAGCGTCTGAATTTTTGCTGAATTAAGACTAATTTTAGGCCAATTTATGGTTATTTAAGTTCTGAATTGATGCTAAAAGGCTATGTTCAATTAGAGTCAATTAGTGACTATTAGCGTCTGAATTGTTGTCAAATTTAAGCCAATTTTAGGCTAATTTATAGTTGAATTTAAATTCTGAATTGATGCTGAATGGCCATATCTGATTAGGGTCAATCAGCGTCTATTGGCACCTGTTTGTACTAATCAGAAAATATAGCAAATCAGCTGTAAATAATATCAAAATCAGCCTAAGATCAGCCATCTGATTTTTAGCTAATTTGGACTATTTTGACTAGTGAAAGCAATCTTCAATTTTCTGTAATCATAGACAAAACTAAGTGGCACCTATGACAGAGTTAAGACGAACCTCTGACGACATTAATGCTATCTATGATGAAGTATTCAGTAGTGATTATAATAAGAAGAGACTTCTTGATAAGGCTATATCCAAATATATTAATGATCGTTAAATATTAGCAATGATAGATGAGTTAATTGTTAAGTACAAAAAATTACAAGAGGAAAGAAAGAATTTCTTGAAGAGTGTAAAAGAATCATTATTAGCGAATATAAAATAAATTTGATGGTGATGTATAAACTTTGGATAATATGATTGAAATGATTGATTCAGAGATGATTTTACATTAATACTAGTTTACAATCAGAAGCTGCTAGAGGTGTTATTACAGAACAAGAAGCAAATGAAAATCATAAAGGTGATGGTGAAACTAGCAAAGATACTGTTGAAAAATCACGAAAAAATAGCAAGACTGGTAAAATAAAAAAGAGATTCTCCTTTTTCTTATATTAGAAATGCTACATTAGAAATTTTATATGACATTGCCATTCACATTTTGTAAAGTTTAGATTCATACGAAATTTAAGCAGTATTAGAATCCTTCTTTAAAAACATTATTGAGAATTGGTCATGTCAAATGATACTTACTCAATATACGTAGTTGTAGGAAATGACCTATTGATATAATATTCAATGTGTTTTCATATACTACTATATGTTGATAAATTGATTGGATAGGTTAATCAATTTAACAAAAATCAAGTTATGATTGATACATTTTTTTAAAATCTTTAAGAATTTATGTAGTAATTTAATCTTTTCATAAATAGATAATAAATTAACAAGCTACTTAAAAAGATATCTGACTTTTAATTTGTTAACAAGAATATACTTATTAGCAATATTAATTAGTATATCTTAGAATAGATCTCAATATTTATTTAAGGCTGATTGTGATATTCTGTTGCTATCACTAATCTTAAAATGAAAACTAGAGAGAGAGAGAGAGAGAGAGTTTTTAAGGCATAATTGTTAATAAAATGATCGAGCTTATAACTGAATTGTAGCCATTTTGAACCAGTGTTAACAAAATTTTAAGGTTATTTCTTTTTTTTTGAATCACTTTGTATATATCACGTGATAGATTTTATAACATGATTAGGTCATTTTAAGGTCACTTGTTTAGTGATCTTATCATCTTATCATTATTTGGGTAGACATTGATAACTAATAATAGTTTTTGCATAAATGACGTGATCGAGAATTGGAAAATGTGTTTAGAAAAAAGTGGGCTGAATGATAAGCTTACGCTATAACCCACAGAATGTCAGGGCTTTCTGTGCGATAATTAAGGATTATGCCACTGAGTTCTGGGTCATTTTGTTTAGACCAGCTGTAACTGGATGGTGTAATTTTCTTTAGTCTCTTCACCATTTCATCCATGTTACGATATGTGGAATGCTTTCGTTTCAAGGATTAGATAGAAAGGAATCACAAACAATTCTTTAGCTAATTTCCGTTTAAAAAAGGTATTGAAATAACAAGTGAACATTGGGATAATGTCAAGTGAATCAGTAATAATAAATAACAAAGGAAAAAACACAGGTCAGAAACGATATAACAATACTCTCTCAAACAAATGAATAAATATGTAGTATTCATAAATGCGAACACTAATCTGAGATATAATGGACGAAAAAATAATTTTTTGTTTGCGCAATTTGTTCATTACCTTCTCCTTTAGCTAAATCGACTGATTTATTCTGTAAATTTTTATAAAACTCCCACTTGTCGTCTTTATCCTTCTTCAATTCCTCTTTATATTTCTCTAAAGCTTTTATTTCCTCATCCAAATCTCACTTATCCTCTTCCAAAAATTCTTTTGTTCCTCATTTTTTTCTCTTATTGCTTGACTATTCAACCTCCTCCCTTCAATCCTCAACTCCTGTAACCTCTTTTCATTCCCCTCCAATTTCTCCTCAGCCTTTCTATATATTTCAAGCACAATGTTTTTATATTCTTCAATTATTTTGATGTTTGCCATTTTATAAAAAAAAAAAAAAATATTGTAAAATTTATAAATTAATTTTTAAAAAAAAAATTTTTTTTTATTGATTTTAGATCGTAATTGTTAAGCCGAAACCTTTTAATTTAATTTTTATGTTCTTTAATACTTTAAATCACTTGTAAACTAAATCATATGCTGTGAAAAGTTTAATTAATATATAACCCATCCAAGAATAGTTGAAATTTTTACGAAACAAAACTTAATATATAATATCTGTAATGATTTATTGGAAAGCGATAAATTTCACTAATAACCTTAACAATTTTTAGACTACAGTAACATATAACAAACAAACCTGAACATAATAAATTACGAATCATTATCGTTATTAGATTTGCTCCACATTCCACGTCCAGCTTTACGTTGTTCTTCCGCTAATCTTCTAAACATTTCCATTGTATCCTGTTCCTTTGATTTATATGCAATAGCTTTCTCTTGTAAACTTGCTGCTTTCTCTGCTTTATAAGCTTGTTTTCGCTGTTCACGTGCATCACTTGCTCGTTTTTGTGCTGCAAAACTATAAAAACGAAGATAGTTATGATTTGCCAATCATGAATTCTGAAACCAGCTACATCATCTTTACCTGTCGGTAATTAAGGTGATAATGTAGAAAACGTTTCAAATAATAAAAAAAAATTACCTCGATCGAAAATCATCATCTCCCATAAGATCCCTTTCATTTAATTCGACATCCGGACTTTCTTCTCTTCGATAATATGCATTCTTGGTCCTTTTCTTTTCAATCATAGCTTCCTTCCCTATATAAATAAAACAATACTCGTTAACTTACTATATAAGTTACAACTTTCATCACCTAACCTTACCTGTTGCTTTTGGTATTAATTCATCAAGAACAGCTTCATGTGTTTTTTGAAAATCTTTACGCTCTTTCCTTTTCAACGTTCGTTCATAACGTTCCCTATCTTCTTGATCCATTTCTACGAGTTCGGAATAAGGTGAGTATTTACAGCAAATTCAACTCTATTCACAATATAATTAACATAATCTCACCTTCATTTCCACCTTGCAATGATGTAGGAGGCATAGTTGGACCTGCAAGAAAGAAAAAATGTAAAAAAAAAAATTGGTTTCGATTCTAATTAAAATTTGCCTACCAATAGTCCTTTTATTTATTTGATCGGTTTTTCCAGATCTCATTTGAACTTCCATTGCAAATTTAGTATTAGTCTGTCTATCTATCGAATGCTTAAGGGAATCAAGTTCATCTTGATTAATTTTTAAATTCTTCCATTTGTATCTAGTCGTTTCTGAATTCATTAATTGCGAAGATCGAATTCCATCATAATATTTCTCTAATAATAATAATAATAATAATAATAATGTGAATTAGACGAAAAATAAACAATTATCAATGTAAGAAGGTACTCACTGTCTAATTTGCATTTATTCCAAGAACTAATGAATTTCTTAAAATAACGGTGTGCTTGATTAGAGCTCAGTTCATCAAAAAATTTATCTTTATTTTCTCTCAACCAAATACGAAACTCTGTTGACTTTGAGAAATAATCATCTTCCGAAATAGCTAATATACAAAAATAATTTGGTTCAATTTATTCGCCACCTAAAGAAATTAAAACTATAACGCACATTGAAATCCTTTCGGTTGCTTGTGAGAATTATTTGAATCGGTATCCAAATGGTCATGAATTTTCTTGTGTTTTTTCTCTTTTCGAGGCTTATATTCGCCTTCATTACCTTCTCTCAAGTGGACGCGATGACTCTTTGAACGAGAAGACGGAGATCGCGACCGATCATAATCACGGCGAGAAGACATTTTCAACTGCTAACAGCCGTTGAAATATGGCACAAATTTATATAATTTCACTAAAAATTTAAGGCAATTTCTAATTGTACTCGGTATCTGAAACAATAAATAATATTTTTAGAATAAAAATTTCTAATGAAGTCCCTTAGATTGTTCTAGTAGGCAAAATATTAATTAATTTATCAGCGTTTTCGCTTAGATTAGTAACTTGTACTAAATCATATTTAAAATAAATGATCTTCTTTTATGGTCAGATCTGCTTACCCAAATTAGAAGAAACCATCTTCCGCAGCCTATAAATACCATATCCTGTTTATTAATCAAAATTATTTTTTTTGGAAGAAATGCAGGGTGTGTGATATAATGGGTGACAAAATTTTTTCTATAAAAAAAATTCTGTTCCCAGAATAAAGCCGTAAAAAATGAAACACATATGGAATTGATGCGTTATGATAAATAACCCTAAATACTAACCCTAACTCCGCTTCAACATATATAAATATGGGGGTGCATTTTGTGCAAGTGCGTAAAATACAAATTCTCTAATTTCAAAATAAACTTCCGATTAAAAATTAATTCCAAAAAAACATCACAAGATTTACTAATGTTTACTAAAAATGATCCCTCACAGATTGAATTTTTCCGAGATCCTTCTTATCACAATAATTTATCCCTTGATTAATTAATTAAAATCCCTTAATTAAAAAAATAAATAAATAAAAATCTCCTTTTTACACGATTTTCTTTCTAAAGAAATTATAGGAATTTCAAGACTAAATGATACTGATCCAACAAAATTGCCTATTTACAAATAAAAATATTTATCCCATTAGATTCAAGTATCGAATTTCACATCAATCCCTTTAAAACAAAAAATGTTATCTATTTGAAAGATAATTTGTTACCTATTCCAATTATTATATAATATGTTTTAACTCAATAAACCTTCAAATAAAAAAAAATAAAATTCAACATAACAAAAATTTAATTAATTTACTTTCTTGTAAATAAGATTAACACAATCACTATTAAATCTATGCATTTAGAGTATAATGATATGTTTATCATAAGCTTAAATGTGATCGCTTCGGGACTTATTATTAAAACTATTCAAAATTCTAACAGAAAGTCAATTCTTGATTTTATGTTGATATATCCTTAGTTTCTTCTAACTTCTAAATACCCAAACTTTAAACCTTTTATGAATCAATAAAAGTCTCAGTAAAAAATCGATTACCTTGAGAAGCTACTCCGAAAAATTTTACAAAAGAACACTCTGTCACAAATGGATCCCACTTGACAACAAAATCTTATTGCAGCATTATAAGCTAATTTAATCTTAAAAACTGATTCTCTTCCTAAACAAAACTCCTCTGAAATAAATTAATCAAATAAATGCTTAACAAATTTAATCCGTTTTTATCATATTTTTATGATAATCAAATTTTTTTTTATATTCTATCACAAATATTGCTTATGTAATAACACATAAAATCATATGTAAAAAAATATAACTAAATACATGATAATTTTTTTGTAAAAATCTTTACACTAGTCAAAATCAAAAAAAATCGGACATGCGAAAATTGGCCTAAAATCGGCCTAAAATCGGCCTAAATTCGGCAAATTATCAAAAATCAGCCTAACCAATTGGCATACATCATAAATCGGCCAAGAATCAGCTAAAATTCGACCTATCTTATTTATAGCCGATTGGCATACTTATAGCCGATTAGTATATATCAAAATTCGACCTATCTTATTTATAACTGATTGACGTCCGATTGGAACGATTGTAAGGACGATAGTTTTATTGTTCCTTAGGGATGATGGTTTTATCGTTCCTTAGGGACGATGGTTTTATCGTTTCTTAGGGACGATGGTATTATCGTTCCTAGGGACGATGGTTTTATCGTTCCTTAGGGACGATGGTTTTATCGTTCCTTAGGGACGATGGTTTTATCGTTCCTTAGGAACGATGTATTTATCATTCCTAACACTGGTTCAATAATGAGGTATCATACAGATATCAACCACCTAGAAATACCCCGATATGTCTTATATTTTATTCAGATAACTTATTGAATGACAGATTTTTTATATTCCCAATAATTCTCTTAATTATGGCAGGAATAGTTAATAATAAGCTACATAAAATTAACATATCGGGTTATTAAATATTATACTAATAT